ATTATATCTTGGAAATTTTGAAGTTACCTTTTTTTAATTGATGTTGTTATTCTTTAAGAACGAACAAGGTGACTCGACCGCAAGTGTAGACGGTTATAAGTCAGTGATATGGAGTTAGTTCAGACTCCAAATCACAAAGTTTTCATATGGGTTAGGTCTTTATCCACAACTGATTTAACGACGAGGAGAAGTTGATGTAGAACTTGACAATAGAAAAGACAAAACTTAAAGAGAGTAAACTCTAGCGATGTAGAACTATACAAAATATTTGTTATTTTCGATTCTTCTGAGACACTCTAAAACAATCTAAAAATTTTGCGACAATTACAAAATAAATGACACCGAAAAAGAGAGTAAATTCTGGCGAGTTTAAGAGAAAGAACAGCACGAGATCATGATTCAAAACTCTATGGTAAGCCTCATGTTATTAGAGAAGAAGACGAAAAAGATGATGATGCTGCGATTAGAGAAGAGATTTAAGTTACTTGAATAGATCGATATAATCGATTATCATTGACCAAGTGGGAGGCAGCGGATTCGGAGGAATGGGCGGGTCTGGAGGTTTTGAGAGGTCTGGTGGCGTCGGAAAGAACCACACCCGGAGACGACACGGAGTCTCGGTCATATCCAAACCAACTATTGGCGAGAGGGTTGAAAGGACTACCAACGGTGCAGATCTATGAGCCATGAAGGACGGATGCGAGGAAGAGACCAAGAGAAACTTCGGCGGAGAGGTCTCGAAACGGTTCTTCAGGAGCACTTCATGTGACCCGAGAAGAGGTGCAGCGCTGCTTCAAGGGAGGAAGACGATCTGCATGACGAAGGAGCGGTGGAGAAGATGCATTCTTGCGTTGATGGTGACGACTCCTCGGGAAATGGTCTTGATTGGGGGAGATTCATAGCCTCATTCTATATGTTAGAATGTAAATGAGGTAGAGAATAGTATTTGACTTAAATGAGTAAATTGAAATTTCAAAGAAATTCTAGCGTTTCCAGAGGATGTAGCTCAACCATTTCTTCGACCACAAGAAGTATTGGGAGAATGGTAAATAATTTGTACCAGTTTTGTTTGTTTGATATAAATCTTCTTACAAACGCAAAATTTTTGTGAGGTTTTTGCTTGTTGGTTATATTTTGATGTAAGAAAAACTCATATGTTTATCTAGAATCTTTGAGTTTTTTTGGGATTATTGTTTATTGATATGAGCTATTGTAATGATTTATTCAACGTGTAAATGAGGTAAAGATAAGAACATATCCAATTCGTATGTAAAATCAACAAAAGATGTATGTTAATACATATAAATATTTCAAAACTTTTATTTTCCAAAAATGAGAGATTTGAGGGGAAACTAATATGTGTAGACTTATAAATATTCT